ATATATATATGTACTAGAGTCAAAAGGGTAAATGAGGTAAATCCAGAAGTATATTAGTAAAATGGGGTTTGGTCCCATATTGTTCAGAACATGTCTCAAAGGATAGAAAGAGATAACAGTTGCAGCTTATAGTCATAAGATTGAAGGGAGCTGTGAGGGTTTAGAGATTTATTCAGGCTTTATTGAAGCGATGGCAGTATCTGCCATGTCAGGGGCCAGGGGGTCCTTGCACGGTCAGTTAGAATTGGAATATGAGTACGAAACTGGTACAGCAGTATCTGAAAGTTCACTATGAGCATTCGTTTGCTACTCACACTTATAGGGTATATCGCGCAGCAGGAGAACGACTGGGGATGTAGCACAATTTGTGCAGATGCTTGTACTGTATCTGTGTAGGATTTTAGGAGTCAAAGGATGAAACAGAGGTTTACCACTGGGCCAGTTGGGTATCCAGCTAGTCCAGCTAGAGTTCTTAGGGCCGTCTGCCATCTGAGTGCCAGCCATGACCTCTTTTCTATCTGTTCATAGCCACAAAGCCAACCAGGTCACGCGAGGGAATGAGGTGATTTATACATACACATAGATACGGATGGATCGACATAGCGGACAGAGGCAAAATAAAAACAAGTCTACAAAAAGGAGGGCTTTTGGCATGCACCATAAATGCACCACTGTTCTCATGCTTGTGATTTTTAACATCCTTTTAAACATACATTGGCTTGATTTATTTCTCCTTAATCCATCGGGCATTTGTTTCTGTTCCTAAAATTAATACCTGCAGAGTAGAAGGAGTTAGCGTTGCCAAAATGGGCTTGATCTGCAGCACAGGTTAGGACCTGCTTTAATCCTCCACTCATTCATGCACACACTCAAAACGAGCACAGTCAAAACGGCGTGTGCGAGGCCGATTGATTGGATCGCTTTCCCCAAGCATGCAGATTATATTGTTGGGTCATCAGGAATATAGAGCCAGGTCAGATCATGTGTTAGAGAAAGGAAACAGAGAGGTATGCACAAATGAACCTATCACAAAAAAAACGAAAAGAATGGGCAGTTATTAAACGGAGGAACACTTATTGTGACATAAGAGTCACAAACACTTCCATGCTCCACACACACACTTGCACACTCTGCTCACAACTGATACACTCCTTGTGACAAAATGTATCTACAGTGAAAGACACACACACGCAGAAGAGATGCAGTTGCAGGCTCTCATCACAGCTGAGGAGCTGCCTATTCATCTGCACATAAGAGGACAAAGCGAGCGTGCTGCACTCAGGAAATTGCTGCCACGCAATTTACAATCGTTAAGCAGCGGTGGAGGACACGGTCACATACGCACTCCTGCACTTTCATCCGAACTATCATTCTCATGCATGCACGCGCACACAGAGCCGCGCACACTCAGGCGAGAACACACTGGTGCTGGTTGCCTCTCCGCCTGGGTCTTTGAACAGTTCAATGAGGCCTCTTTTCAGCAAAGTGAATAGCCCCTCTGATTCCCCACCACGCTTTGTGTGTAGGCGTATGTGCCGCGCCACCGTGTGAGTTGGTGCGCGCGTGTCATGACTGCCAGACTTGTGTGCATGTACCGTGTGTTTGCGTGGGTCCTTCATCCTTTGTGTGAGCCCAGCTGAGGGGTGAGAGCTGTTTTGCATGTGGCTCGGCCTCACAAACGAGCTGTTCGGGCCAAATTTGAAGCTTCTGGGAAGCTTTTAAACAACTTGGTCTTTCATTGGCTTTTAATTTCGATCCTGAGACAAGATCAGCTCAACCTGAACCAAGTGTGGAGTCTGTGATTGTTCTCAAAGGTCACGGATGTAATGATAAAATGATAGCTTCTGCCTTAAGTTCCTGCTGGGTTTGACCTCTTTGTGCAGACGTCTGCCTGCATTGCTGCTGTCAGATTGGTCATATTGCAGTTTATATGTTTCTAATTTAAAATGTTTTCAATTATGCATACCATTTAGTGCATGCTTTTATGTGAAGAGCCTTACAGTAGCATGAAAGCATACTTTTAGTGTGTACTTCTCCCCCTAAATCTACCCACTGAGCTAGAAAGGGCCACTTACAAATGAAAAGGTTTTTTTTAGTTTGTCTGTTTGTTTGTTTGTTTCTTCCAGAGAAATAAGTCAGTTTGCTCCATTCTGTCCACTGTCTATTTTTAGCCTCTATGTAGAAATAGGTCTCCCTCTAGTGAGAGTGATGTGTAACACTAAAGGAAACGTCATCTACAGGTGAGGACAAAAATCATTCGTCCCTCTATGAAATCTAAAGTTTTTGTTATTGTCAAAATTTTCCCAAGTGCTTGTTTAGGAGTGCAATGGATTTTGAATCCAGCATTTTTTAACTTTACTAGCATAAATTATTTCTATTTGTGCACAATAGGAAAAATAAAATTACCAGTCAATATTGAAATGCTCAGTTTGTAAAATGAAGTTAGAACTGAGTGTTAGCTTTCAATTTGAACAGTATAAAAACTGCAAGGGTTGGCGCTGTCAGTTGAGAAAGCATCATACCAAAAGCAAAATAAATCAGTTTAGACTGAATGCTCACAAAGTAGGAGATGGATAGAAAAAGTTATCATAGCGTTTCAAGTGTCAAGAACTCAAGAAATTTAAGGAGAGCCATGCAGCACCGAACACAGAACAAGCCTGGCAGCGGTATGTGAATAACTTAGCCAAGTTGGGAAAATGTAGTCTCAAAGAAGACAACAAGTATGCTAAGGACAACCTTTAGATTATGCATACTTGTTCAGATGAAATGAAACTGAAGCTCTTTGGCCAAAGAGATGCTGCTTGTGTTTGGAAAAAGAAGGGAGAGGCATCTGACTCAAAGAAGACCATCCCCACAGTGAAACATGGTGGTGGGAGTATCATGCTGTGGGGACGCTTCAGTGCGTCTGGAATGGGCAATCCCCTCAGGGTGGAAAGAACCATAAGGAAAGTAGGATACATGAATGTTTTTGAAAGGAAACCTCAAGCATTCAGCAGCAAAACGAGGTCTAGGTCGTCGTTTTGTTTTCAAACATGAGAACATCCCAAAACATGTGTCACTCCCAGTGAAGAGCTACCTCCTGGAAACCAAAGTGAACGTTACTGACTGGTCTGCACAAAGCCCAGACTTGAATCCCTATGAAAATCTTTGGGATGAACTGACAACCAAGGTCCATGCCAGAAGACCGTCAAATCTGGAGGAGCTTATGAGTCATTAAAGAAGAATGGGCAGGGATTGCTCAGGCGACGTGGGTTAAACTTGTGGAAATTGCAAGAAACAACTGCAGGTTGTGATCCAGACAAAAGGATATGCAAACATTAGCATAAGGAGGGCCAAATAGTTTTTTGGTTATTATTAAATACTTTTGGTTTCAGTGTGTAAAATACAAATAGGATGTTTGGAAAAACGGCGTTCCTTGTTCTGTTTAAGAGCACTTGGAAAATACCTTTGAAAAAACATTTTCAATGGGGGTAATAATTTAGTCCTCATCTGTATCTTTTAAATTACAGTAAAATTGACACTGTGTGCAACAGTATTTTAAATATTGAGTTTAATTTAAATTTTTCTCTGGTCCCTTATCCAGGTGATAATTTACCAGGGCGGTCGGGTCTTCAGCCTCTCCAACCACCTCAACGGTCGTGTGGGCTTCGTTGCCACCATGCCAAGCACAAGTGCCTCCATCTTCATCAACAACACCCAGGTGTCCGACACTGGGACCTACCAGTGCCTGGTCAACAACCTCCCAGACAGAGGGGGGCGCAGCATTGGTGTCGTCGGACTCACAGTGTTGGGTAGTGTACACCAGCACATTTCTTTCATTATTCTTTCCACAACTCCAAAAATAAAAAGGAGAAAAGGAAAGCGTTGCGTACTTCACAACCTGAGAGCACGTGGCGCTCACTTTTTTAAAAATGCATCTCAAGTGCCAGCTAATAACAGTAAAGGACCAAAAAAGAAGGTTTTGTCTTATTTTCTTCTCTACCATCTGCAGATCTTTATTAAAGAAAGATAAACAGCACAATCATCACTGTGGCAAAGTGGAAACTGTTCAATTTGTCAGGAGTCCTTTTAATAAGAAAAACATCATATTTGACTGTTTGATTAATGAGACTGCACATTTTTTAAATTATGTAATTCTCTCCCCTATTTGGAAAAAAAATTGTTTTCTTTTGTAAAGTGGTTAACGCACCACCGCCCACTCTCTCCATCTGCCAGTGCCCCCCTCAGTGCCAGCGTGTCGAATCCAGGGGACGCTGGATGTAGGCAGTGACATCATGCTGATCTGCAAATCAGAGGAAGGTATTCCCACGCCGTCCTACTCCTGGGAGAAGCTGGACGCGCTGCCCAAGCTGCCGCACAACGCCATGCAAGGTATTACAAACAAGCTGGCCGTCGGAGTTCCCTTTTGCCCCACCTTCGCTGGTAAATCTCACACGCATAGCGTAGCTCAGTCTCCAAATCACTGCCACCTGTCATGTGCCAGGCCTGAACTACTGCCCCCTTCCTGACTATCCTCCTCCGCTGACCCTGCTGAGGGTGATGATGGATGGATGTAGTGACTCGAACCTGTGAATTTGTGAATGAGCTTGTGTGTGTGTCAGCAATGTGTTTCTGTAAGTGAGCAAAGTGATATTGCTTTGTGGTGCTCCTTCCTCATGCTGAATACCAACTCTGCCCACACGTGCCATTGTGAGATCTGCAGTTGTGTCATTGCTGCGACCGCAATACATACAATAACTTTCTTCTGCCATCCAGCGTTTAATATTTACAGAAACTGGAGTTGCATTTGGTTTTCAGCATCAGAGAGGACTGGTGTGGTGCACTCTCCTTTCTTTTCCAGCTGTGCCCACTGCACAGTGAAATAATATTCATCACTGGTATCTTTCTTTGTCTGTACACTACTGGTCAGTAGAAAGCCCACTGTGCAAAAGTCACATCAATTGCAGACAGCATATTATCATAAAAGTGAAACAGTCTTCTGTTAACAGGTATGAGTCCAATTATCTGAGCACTTGCAGAGGGAGAATAGGAAATGTGTACTCAGTAAATCATAATTGCAAATTAGGCTGCAAAGGTGGTTGAATAAATGTCAATTATCTTCTTTTGTGATATGCTAATTTGCAATTTTGGCAATCAGGCCTTTGAAATGATAACATCGAAAAGCGCTTCAAAGAATCTGACTCACCACAAAATGGAGTGGCGTTAGCACAAATGAACAAACAAACAACAAAGACACAAAAACAACCTGTCACAAAAATAGTTTTTTAAAATAATCTAGATTTTGTTGTTGTTGTTGTTGTTTTCTTTTTCTTTTTCAATATTTCAGTTAGACTGTAAAGTTTCATCTGTGTGCACGAGTATTTTTAATGTGTATTGGTGAACACTGTTCATTTCAGTTCAGTTCAGTTTTATTTATATAGGACCAAATCACAACAGTTGCTCCAAGGTGTTTTATATTGTAAAGTAAAGAAGCTAAAATAATACAGAGAAAACCCCACAGTCAAATGAGCCCCTATGAGCAAGCACTTCGTGACAGTGGGAAGGAAAAACTGCCTTTTAACAGAAGGAAACCTCCGGCAGAACCAGGCTCAGGGAGGGGCGGCCATGTGCTGCAACCAGCTAGGGGAGGGGAAGCCAAAAGCCACACTGTGGAAGAGAGCCAACAATGAATAATAAGTCATGCTTAAATGCAGAATGCAGGCAAGGGACGTCCCCAGCAGCCTAGGCCTAGGTCACCTGATCGAGCCCCAACTATATAGTTAGGGCTCGATCAGGTGACCTAGGCCTAGGCTGGATCCCAGTTAGGATTCAGGAGAGGGTGTCTCTCTCCTGAATCCTAACTGGGAGCTGGTTCCACAGAAGAGGGGCCTGAAAGCTGAAGGCTCTGCCTCGCATTCTACTTTTAAATACTCAAGGAACCACAAGTAAGCCAGCAGTCTAAGTGCTCTAATGGGGTCATACAGTACTATGAGCTCTTTAAGATAAGATGGTGCCTGATCATTCAAGTTTGATTCTGGGTTTCACAGGGAAACAATGAAATAATACTCTCTCTCTTTCTAGTCCCTGTGAATCTTGTCCTGCAGCATTTTAGATCAGCTGAATACTTTTTAGGATACTTAATAAGTTTTTAGGAAAACCTGATAATAATGAATTGCAGTAGTCAAGCCTAGAATTAATAAGTAGTTTTTAGTCCATGCATTTATGGAACAGACTAGCAGCCATAAAATAAATCCACTTCATTAGTGAAAAAACCACACTTGTTAGCTTGTTTTGCAACATGTAGCCCAAAATATGACTCACTACTGAGGTTATACTTATAGCTGCAGGTATTATTTACAGTATAAATAATTTAACAGCCTCTAAAATAAATTTTGCATTAATGTATAATATATTAAGTTTTTACCTTTTGATGACTACAATTGACATGTCCGCTTACATAAAAAAACAGCAAACAAACACAACAAATGTATCTTTAAATATTCACGTTTGTTTTCTTCTGCTTGCATTTCATTCAAACTGTAAAGGGATCCTGGAATCCAGTGCCACTCCTAATCCTCTGTGTGTTTAGTTTGACGCAGACAGCTATGACATCTGTCATGTCATTGCTAAGAGAACAGTTAAAGATCTGGCTGACTTCCTCTACAGCGGAAATATGCAAGATAAGAACAAATAAATAAATGAATAAAAGCTTATGCAATTTAAATGAATCCAGTAGTGTACAGCTCAACCCTTTCATCATTTATGAAAAAGGAATCTTCAGTTTTATTGTTCTACTGAACAACATATTTGCACAACTGGGATTAAGAAGACAATAGCACCCTCTATTGGTAGTTAGTATAACTTGTTCAGCGGAAGTTTTTAAAAGTATAAATCAATGTAAGTGTGTTTGAATTATTTAAATGTGCGAGTTACAACACAGGGTCCATATGGTTGTGTTTTAGAAACTTTAATTACTATGTGGCTCTCTGTATGTGCGTGCATTTGTGTCCTTTAGACCAGATGCAGGGCACTGTCACACTGAGAAACATCAGCACCACCACCTCAGGACTCTACCAGTGCACATCCAGCAACGCTATCGGAAAGAGCACTTGTCTGCTGAACCTGCAGGTTGTTGCACGTAAGTATACTCAAACATCACAGGCACGGGTAAGGTGACACGTGTCTGTTTGTTTAAGATGGAAAGGCTGCTAGTGGCAGAGCAGAAGTCTTCTCGGTGACTGACAGCCGTCAAACACAGACATAAGCAAACAAACAAATGTGACAAAATCCAGCCAAACAAAGGGCACAGTCAGAGCCGCTTGCACACGGCAGCACTTGACATCTGACACCAGGAAAAAAACAGAGGTGATAAAAGTGACAGGGTCGGGCAGTTTTGATAGCTTGACAGAAAGGGCTGTAACATGTTGTTTTCTTTTGGTCATCTGACAGTGTGTGACAGGCCGGGGCTCTGTATCAGAGTGCTGAGTCTGCCAGACATGCCAGACTTGTGATTTGCTGACACGATACAGACGTAAAGGCTCGTGAATGAGATTTTATTTTATTTTTTTATTAAAAACAATTTGAATCCATTAATTATGACAAAGAGATTGCTTTTTACAAAGCCATATATTAAATAAAAGGCATGATGTATATGTTTAACAAGGATTGTCCCAAACTCTTTTTGACAAAGTTAGTCAGACGTTAGACTTGAAAGAATCTTGTTTATTTATTTATTTTGGCAAGTACATCTGTTGTGTAAAGTTGTGTCAGCTGGGCGCTGAAAATTGTTATTTGGCACAGAAAAGGACAGTTTAGTACATCTGGGGCTCTTTCATTAAAGCAAGACAAAGTTTTCAATATTCAAAAATGGGTTGGTTTTTTTAAATATTTTATTTATTTATTTATTTATTGGACGATTTGGAAGCTGCCAGCCTCGGTGGGCAATTGCCTGATGTCGGAGGATAATCAGCTGTTCTAGTTTCTTATGTGGCTTTCAGCCTATAAAAGCTGCACTGTGTGCTATTATCAAGTGTGGACCACACCTTATTTTGTGTCTTATTGTAGTGACACCTTATATTATTCTGAAATACCTGACATACAGATCTAGTGATGTATTTTAGGAGCTATATTAAACAAATACATTTTTTGATTCTCTTCTCTGTGTGTAATGAAATGAAATCTGTTTACTAGATAATTTTTTTAAGTGTAGTTTTGGCCAACTCATCCAGCTCTCTGGTCATTTTCAAATGTCATCCTCTTGTCTGTCTGTCCTGCAGCCCAGCCTCAGAGTGTAGGTCTAATAGCAGGAACCATTGCCACAGGAGTCCTGGCAGTCGTCATCTGTTCCCTGTTAGTGGTGGTCACACTCTTCTATTGGAAGAACAAGAACAAATATGATGAGGAGGAGATTCCCAATGAGATCAGGTTTGGCTTTGATTGCTGTTTTTCCATTGTTCTTTTTTTCTTTTTCATTACTATGTAGCTGGTGTGAAAGTGCATCTGCAAGCTTGTACGCTCACCACGTTTACTCAGTATGTCTGTAACCTGTAACGCAGCGGCACTGGCATGCTGAACTTTTATGGAGAGCACATTTTCAGTTTTTGCTGACTGTGTCAAAAAGGTGATAATTCTGCTTTATTATTGAGGCCACGCTGTGCTGAGTGCTTGTACTAGACAACATACATTTGATGATTTGCCCCCTAAATGCACTGTGTGCTTATGGAATGAACAAAATATTTGGAAGATATTTCAATGAAATGCAGTTCAGTAGACCACCATCACAACACACAATGGAATCAGTCAACAAAAACAAGGCTTTACGGCAGACTGTTGGATGGTAGTAGATTGCACTATGCTTGATCAAGTGGCTAATGGGTGTAGTTTATGTATTTATTCAGACTGAATACATTTATATTTAAAGATAAGCTTTTATTTGTCCAGTGACTGATGTGTAGGAGCCATAAAGAATGCGTTTACCTTATAAGGTGTTAAGGCTATTAGGATGCAGGGGCGTTTCCAGGATTTTTTTTAATGAAGGGGCACAGAGGGAACCAAGAGCCAAGGGGGTGGGGAATCAGAAAAATATTTCAACTTCCTATATAAAAATATATTATATAGAACTTTTCATAATTGTATGTGTTATTTTATTTAAACATTATTTGTTGCTATATGTAATTTTACTGCCAAATAAGCAACTAAAGATTTCACAGAAATTGTGTTGGGATGTCTGGTTCCAAAAATAAAGTGGAGTAGAAGTAGAAAGTAGCATAACATAGAAATACTACTTATAAATAAAGTACCAGTAGTATCCAGTATCCATACTGTCTGTTACTATCAGGTGAAAAGCTATTTAACAGTCCAGCTTTTCTCCATTTTGTGCAGTTTTTGTATTTTGTCATCAAAGCGTTTTGTTTGTTTCTCAGAATTAAGCAGCTCTTTAGTCAGTCTTTCCACGACATTGTTTATACTTAATATAGAGTTTCTGTTGAAGTAAAGCAGGGTTTGTTTACTGAGCTAATCACATACTTAGTGTTTCAGAAGGTTGCAGGGTGACATTTATGGCCTGTCTGATGTATTTTAAAAATCAAAAACATGCAGCGTTGGCTTTGTGCTTCCTGTTGTAGAATATTAAGCGTGTCAGCACTGAAAGCTCTGAAAACTACACCAGTAACAGGCTTAAATGTTCTTCCTAATTACAGGCTAGTTTGTCTTTTAAAGCTTCTGTCAGTTGTTTACCTTAGCTGTAAATTTGCCACTAAATTACTCCAGGACTCATTTGGAGGATAAATTAGTTTACTTTCAGATATCTGTAGCTCTGAGTAACTGAGATAGCAATAAAACTGTCAGTCCACCCTTACACTTCTGCTTTTCCTCAACAGAAAATCACAAAGAATACACTTCATCTCATATGCCTCAGGAGCTCAACTCCATTTCCTCATGAAAATAGAAAAACAGAAAGGCAGGAAGTTTTTGTCGACTTCATTTGAAATACTTTTGAATACATATAAAATTATTTGATCATAGTTTTGACATTTTTTTGTTGCTTTACTCGCACACGGCTTCGCAATGATTATCACATTATATTTAATAGGCTCCACGAAGATCAGAGTGCACACATGAATACATAAGCACCTTGTAGATTCTCAGTAGAACTTTTGCTGCACTGTGAAGCTGAATTAATCTTTTATGGAAATTTGTGCTAAATATATGAAGCTGAACTAACTGGCCTTCACTTCTTGTATTACTGACATCTTTTATTTGTGATCTTTTGCTTTGCTATAAATGCACAGGATTAACAAAATAAATATCATAAAATTGCGTTCAATGAAAAACAGTTTTCTAATGTTTTTCCCCGTGCAAACCATAAACGTTGGTACAGGCAGTTATTGTAATCTGCGTGTAAAGCTGTGCATGTCTAACTGTGCTCTCTTTCAAATGTCTCCTCAACAGAGAGGATGACCTTCCTCCTAAGAGGTCATCATCAGTAAAGGCTTTCCATGCCGACGCGTCCTCCTCAGAGAACGACACGCTCACGTCTACCAACACGTACAACAGTCGTTACTGGCACAACCCCAAACCCAACTATGACACCAACTCCTACACGCGCTACAATGGAGACGCTCGCCAGACCTACTCTGCCGCTGCTCACGGCACGCACGGACACGGCCCAGGCCAGAACGCAGCACAAGGCCACGGCGCAGCAGTGACAGCTCCAGGCTCAACCCCGCTCTCCCGCCACCCCCCGCCCACGACAGCAACGACGTCGTTTGCCAACGGCAGCCACACCCTCCCGCCACCAAAGACTCTGGTGGTCACCACAAACTCTGCCCCCTCCCCTCCCAACATGGTGCGCAGCAACGGCACCGTGAGCCTCAAACCGGTGGTGACGTCCGCACACGGGCAACACACACACTCCTACGCCGTGAGCCAGGCCACTCTGGAGCGGATGGGGGCGGTGCCAGTCATGGTGCCTGCCCAGAGCAGAGCGGGCTCACTTGTTTGAAATTGAGTTTGAGGAACTGTTAGCTTTCAAAACGAGACTGAATGAGTGTTCGGTTGCAATGTTTGAAATCCGCCGATGAGAAGCAGACTAAATATGGGCTGAAGCAGCCCGCTGCCCTTTACAGCTGTGTCTTTCTGTATGTCTCGACCTTTTTATCTCCAAACAAACTGGGATTTTACAGTGCAGAGTTCATTTGATGCCAATTCCTTGATGGACCGGTGTTTTTTTTCTTTTGTTTGTTTTTTCTAGAGAAGCACTACGTGGTATCTGATCATCCCCTTAACTGGATGGATTTCATTGGTGGGTTCAGTGGCAACTATTTTTAAAACCATCTGGATGATTTCCCAAAGCTGGCGTGAAACATCATACAGAACCTGGATTCCCAGGTGTTTTTCAGGGCTGGATCATTGTGATGATTGATTTCTTTTGTTTGTTTGTTTGTTAAAGCAACGCACATCGCAGTGTGTCCATACTGCATGGTCAGACAAAAGCAAGCTTGGATTCTTAAATAAATGCATGTGATCCCTGATTCAGAACATAACAAGTTTGCTTTTTTTTCCACATTTGTTTGTTCGTTTTTCATTTTTGTTGTAATTTTGGTTGAGGGAAATGATAGAGATGATGAGGATTATACATGAAAACGTGAATGTTTAAAGTCTGTTGGCAGTACCCCAAAGATGAAGGTGTGAATGAAATGATGGGGTTTCAAATGGCCTTAGAAGCTCGTAAAGGCGAGTGGGTGTTACTGGGTGCAATACAAGGCAAAACATACATTAAGTCACTGAATGAAAAGTTTTAATAATAGTCTTACTAACATTATGCTTTTCCCATAACATCTAAAGTTTATCACACACACAGAACAGTGGTAATATTTGAAGAGGGCACCAGAGAAAAAATTGGTGCCACTTTCCCAACAGAAAGCTACTGTCCACCGGATGGAGATGGACCTTAGTGTTTGCTGTCCTTATTCTTGTTGTTGTCCTAGCCTGGTTCATGACACATCACTGCTGCTTTGACATGAAATAAGCTGACCGCTTATTTCATAAATGATTTTTTAAAAACACAGAAAAATATATATTTAAAGCTGATTTTTTTTTCTCTGCCTAAATATTTTTTTTAATGTACATATTGCAAAAGTAGGCTAGATTGTAAATCAAAGAAAATACACATCTAACACATATTTTACAGCTCACATGTCTTAATTTGAAAACAGGTTTTTTTCTGCTACACTGGTAACAAGCTAGGTTTCATAGACTGTGCTACTGGTTTCAGTGAAGGGTTTCGTTAGGAGATGTGGGGTAAATGCAGTGTTTTAACACGGATGGCTATGTGTTTCATTACAGCTTATGATATGTGTGTTGTATAAGGTATTGTATTTCTGACCCACCATATTTGTATTCCAACCAAATTTCAACATGTCCCACCTTTCCAAATTTAGTCATGTTCATTTCTTTTTGTGCCTGAAGGCACCGTTTCTTATAAATCCTTCTAGCAACGATGCAATATTGGACACAGACGCTTTTCAAGGTAAATGCAGTATTGGAAAATGTGTGTGTGTTTGTTGGAAAAGTTAAAATGTGCTGTTTAGCATTTTGTCTTACTAGACAAAACACTTAGAGAGCAAGTGTTCTGTAACAAATGCAATTGTGTCACTTCTGTCACAAAAAAATGTTTTATATAGACGACTTTACTCATTTAATCAGGGGTTGATGTTTATTTACTTTAACTCTTCGTACAATTTGCCTACGTACTCTTTTTGGAAATAACAGGATTTCTGCACTGATTACTAAAAAATGATTTTTTTCTTATTCATTAGATACACACTATCTGACCAAACCGATGACAAGTAAACAGATGTGCTCTTCAAGTCTTTGATAGAAGTAAGAAAAAAAGTTGTCTGTAGCTGAAAAAGCCTCCATCCAACCACGACACTTCCTCCAACGTGCTTTCCAGCTGCGATGAGGTTTCGTTGTTTTTGTGCAGTGCCTTTTCCCTTCCAAACATACTTTGTCTGTTTTTGACAAAAGTTCAAATTTTCTCATCAGTCCATGTACGGGCTCAGAAGTTTTTAAAAACTTTCAGTAGATGTTTTGAAAGTTTAAAATCAAGCATTCTTCTTCTTCTTCTTCTTCTTCTTGTATTTTTGATTGGCTGTCATGTTCTTCCATTAAAATCATTATAGTGAGAACTGAAGGTGTCTCACTGTTAACCTTTTTTTTTCTCCTACTCTTTCATTTCACCTCTTTCCAAAACCAAATTGTATTTATCCATAGCTATGACTTGGAAGTACACTTGTACACTTGAGTAATCAGTTCAGAAATACTTGCACTTTTCAAAAGGTAACTTAAAGTCAATATTTGAACATTTTTAAATGAAATACTGATTTTCAGTACTCACTTTCAGACGAATCCCACCAAATATTTTGATAATGGGAGCAATAAATATCAAGTTATACAGGCCTAATATGTTATGATGTTAATGTCCTGACAGTTACGTGTGCTTCACCATAACCCAGAATTGCTTTTCTGACATTATAACGGCTGGTACTTTGGATTTCCATATTCTTCATTTATTCAGTATTCAGTTTACATTAATCAGTTACTCCAGTATCATAAACTGACTTGCTCATGTATGGTCTGACTACATGGACCCATTTCTTTCTTTGTTTTCCTTTGTCTACAGTGCTGGAGAGCTACGGCACTTGAACACACTGATTTTAACTCATTCACTGCCAGCCATTGGCAGTGAATGAGTTAAACCCATTGACTCATTCACTGCAATTGACGGCTATAGACGTCAATGGCAGTGAATGAGTTAAATAGAGAAAGGCTAAACGAGGGCAGATGGTCAAAGATCAGTGATCGCATCCGCTCCTTTTTGTCTGTCAGTGTTTTCATAATAAAGTCTTTGTGAATATTTCACTCACAATCTCTTCCAGTGTCCCTGCCCTGAACACTTTCTGAAAGCATTACTGAACTCTTATTCTAAGGCCTTTAGCTTTATTCCTAAAGAGAATGGAAAGTTCCAAAAGTAAAACTAAATGGAGTTTATTTTACTTTTGCTCTGCCCTCTGTTTTCAAGAGATAAGGCGGAAAGAGAGCACAATCAGTAGAAATCTACTGAGGTTTTAACCCATATTTAACAAACATCTTCTGCTGATGGCTGGCAAGAACGATAAATAGACTGCATTTATATGGCGCTTTTCTGGTCTTAGTGACCATTCAAAGTGCTTAGTGTCAACAAGGTGGTAAATGGGTTGTGTATATAGATAAATGTGATATATTGCCAATAGTGAAACCAATCTGTAAATATGTAAAGAAAAAGAAACACATCTCATTCTGACTGTTGGGTTGAAATGAAATAGGAAAAATAACACTGGAGCTTGTAGTGAATAAATATTGTTAATACATCCTAGTCGGCATCCTGCTCATTTTGTGTATGTGTGCTTGTGACACGATGCAAACTCCCTAACTGTATTTCAGTGAATACATGCACTGAAATACACTGATACACTTTCAATTTCTTAGTCAGCAGTAATGACGAAGAAACTAGTGTATTACCCCAGTAATATAGGTAAAATACAGTTTCCTCGGAAAGTTTTCTCTCAGACTCATAAATTGGGCCCTTGGTGGTGCTGGCTGTAAAGACATCCATAAAAAGGGAGTGGTATAGAATAACAATATGAAAAATAACCATGTGTTAGTTTCTTCACACCCTCCTTGTTTCTATTTGAAATGACTTCACACTATTACACAATTTCACTTCAGACTTGAGCCAACGTTTATTTCTTTATATTTTGCTAGAAAAAAAGGAAATAGGTTCAGGGATTTATTAAAAGGTCTAAACATACATGGATATATAATATATAAGGCAAAAACAGAGTTTTTCTTTATTCTTTATTCTTTATTCTAGCGCCTTTATTCTTTAACACAGCCTGAATCATTGGCAAGCTTTCTTGTAATGTCTTTAAGTTGCCTTCAGGAATACTTCTCCAGGCTACTTGAAGGACAAAGTTTTCTCAAAGCTCTTTTTTTTTGATTCTGGCTTCTTTTTGTCACACATTTTGTAAAATGATACCACACTCCTTCCATAATGTTAAAGTCTGTGGATCCACAGACTGTTAGTGCTCTACTGTGCTTTTACTGCATAGGCCTTATCTTCAGGTTCAACAGCTGACTGAAGTGTAGCCCAAACCATGACAGAATCCACTGTGTTTTACAGATGGCTGTAGATGCTCAGTGTCTCTCCTGATCTCCTCCGTACATATCGATGATCAATTGAACCAAAACTCTCACATTGGCATTCATCACTCCTTAAGACTCCCTGCCACTGATTTTCAATCCATTTCTTGTGTAATCTGGCACACCTCAGTCACGCTTCCACTTCTGAGGAGACTTCAGTGAACAGTAGCTGCAACAACTGGAGGGCCAGATGTATCGCTGAGGTTCTGCATCAGGTCTTTGCTGGATTTTTGTTCCTATTTCTAGGACATGACTTTCATATACACTGCTTTTTTTTTAGGCCCATCGCTTCTTTTGTCCTCCACTTATGTAGTTTCCTCAATTTTTTAAGTAACAAGATATGATAAATTTCAATTAAAGAAATTGTGGGTCTAGCAAAGTGCTTTAAGAGACTGTAAACCAAGTGACAGAACCAATAATTGAATGAACAAATGTTCATCTATCCATCTATTTTTTTCCGCTTACATGGGGCATGCTTGCAGGGGTAGCAGCCTAAGCAAGCCTAAGTCAGCTTATAAAGAAATATAGAACAAATGAACAGGTGCGTGTTAGTGAATGAATTCTTTTGCAGCCCACTGTCCAAGAATTATACCACCATAATCCATCATAAAATACGGGATATTTTCTAGCACTAAGGCATTACATTTTCAGTTTTTTTCTATCTAGTTTATTTAGTATGTGTGTTATTGTTATGGGAGTCCTCCCTTGGTGATTCCATTATGTAAATAATTCATACATGGCATTGATGATTTGAATCTGTTCAATAGTTTGTATATGACAACAACAACAACAACAACAATAATAATAATAATGATAATAATTTGAAAATCCTTCCCTGCAGTTTTGGGAGGTGAAGACCTTTATTGAACCACTAGGGGGCACTATTTATTCATGCAGCCTCTTCACTTATGTTCGTTCAAAAGAGTTCAAGGCAGTAAATTCCAAACCATTCATTATGAAAGGCAAAAGTATTCATCGGTAATGGAGTGAGTGTTAATGGACTCATTTAAATGCAGTTGAATAGGAGACTCCACTTGCAGTGGGCTGAACACTTGTCTTAATGCAGTCTCAATCAGTGCATTTGATTTCCATTAATCTTCAAGGTTCCATTTCTAATCTGAATTTCCACCAGCCTTCCTTTATTTCTCCTCTAGCCCATGTAAGCTTTAAAAATCAACCCAAGTGACCACTGGGACGACCGCTACAAAAAAGGCAAATGGACCTGAGAGCCCAGTCATTTAAAAAAAAAGAAAAAGAAAAAAGGATGAGCTCATCAGCTGAGGCTGTGCGTGTGCATACATGATTTTCTGGTCACAAGGCTGACAGATGCTGGTCTGTGTAATGAGCACAATTACAACAATTTTAAATCAATTTTCTTTCCAGTATTTTCCCATCTCCTGTCATGCAAAAGTCCATTCTCTGTTTAATATCACATCTAAGCACAAAGCTAAGCATATTTTGTGTGTGAAAACTTTGAGTTTTGTCTGGCAGTTATGTTATCGAATGCACACCTTTTAATACAATAATAATTTGACTGTGAATAACAGAGTGCACAACATACACACTATCTTTACTCTATCGATCCTTTCAAAATGTCCTGAAGAAGTCTAAATTCTTGAAATATTGTGGCTCCTCTCTCCTACAACAGTACAGTTTTTTATTGCCTGATTGATTTCTGGCTGAATCGCCGGTTATTTTAGACGACCATGGCTGATTAGACTCTGCACAAAGCAGTTAACTGTATTGAACACTATCATACTTAACGGTGACCACAAAATATCCAGCACTGTGTTACTATTTTTAAACTGCACGCATAAAAGCAGGAAAATTCATATAGACAGCTCAGGCTGACAGATGTTGTGTATATGATATTTCAAATATTATGATTCAAAGTTTAGCATTCATTGATCAAAGATTAAAGGAAAAAAAGACTCAGCTACAGTCATAGGTTATGAAGGGATTTTGCGTTTGTGGTATGAACGAGAT